TTCAGTTTAACACATTGTTCTAGTATTATTTGACCCGTTCTTTATCCTCCATAATTCATGGAGGATTTAAATTAAAATCACTTTGTTGAACCTCCTCGTGATGTTATAAGAGATGTGTTATGAAATTTGAGAGAAAGTAATCAACTTACTTCCTACCCCAAGTTTCAAGAGTATTCATCTTTAATAAGTAAATTCTTTAACTTTAATAAATAAAATTCTTTAACATCCTATTTTAGTGAGATTCAAACTATCTAATATGGATCCATATGATGAATATTCTAATCTCCATAAACATATTGATTATTTTAGGATCATCATGCATATCTAATAAGCTTAAACTTGATTTAGATATTTAATCATACATAAATATTTAAAATCCATTTTTTAAAAACATATATTTGAAGAGATAAATATTAGATATTACTATAAATATTTATGTTTTTTTTATATTTTGTATTATAAATACTTAAATACAAAAAGAGATGGATAGATTTTGTATTTTAAATATTCATGTGTAATTATTATCATATATTATTAATTTATGACTTAAGTAATTAATACATTACTAAATTTTTTGTTATTTTATAAAATAGAAAATTATGTTAGAAATAAATGAATTAAGCTTAAATTTGATTAAGATATTTAATCCATAAAAATTTTTTAATTTAACAAAATACCTTACAAATAATAAAATAACAAAAAATATTTATTCATATGCCTAAACTAAGACTAAGTGATGTATACATATATTAAACGTAAAATTATTTTAAATTTACATAATCTATCAGTTTATGCAAAAATATATTAATTGATTAATTAATTTATTTCTAACATAAGTTTCTAATTTATAAAACAACAACAAAAAATTTTAATTGACAAACAAAATTATTGATGTATTACTTAAATAAAAAATTAATAACATATGATAATAATTATACATAAATATTTAAAATTCAAAATATATCAAACTCATTTTATATTTAAATATTTATAATCCAAAATATACAAAAACATAAATATTTATAATAATTATAAATTATTATTAGTTTTGAGTTGTGATCTATTTATCTATGCATAAAGAATTGCATGTATTGTACACAAAAACTGACGTGCATTTACTAGTCAAGTAAAAAGTTTTATAAATAAGAGGGTACTAATTTAAATGAACCATAGCATAAGCATAACGAAGTACATAAAAGGATCAACTAACGTCACCTACGTGGCCTATGTGGCAATGCATTAGTGCCGGGAGTGTAATGCTGAGGAGGTCGTCGTGGCCTTTGAAGGGAGCTTGGTAAAAAATCTTGGCTGAAGGGAGCTTGGTAAAAAATCTTGGCTGAGGTATGCTTCCAAATCAGTTGGCACCTGGTTACTGAGGAAGTCCCAAAAGGAACCTTGATCAGGATAAGAAGATGGTCCATCATATACACTGTAATGCTAAGAAGCGTCCTTGGCCATGAAAAATGGTGTATCATGCTCACATCTATCATCAAAATATCCTTGATCCTGAATATACAACTGGCTACGCAAACCACGACAAAGCTCGGCAATCGTGTTTATATCCCTCTGCTGTTGTGTATCATCTGTATCATTGAAATGTTGTCTCAAAGCACGTTCAGTTCCAAAGAAGAAATTTCTATGAAGTTAAAAGATAAAATTATTAATTATTTCGCAAAAAATATCATCTAAGAAATTTACACTATATTCAATTTTAACGTACCAGAAGGCGCTCCGAGGGGGCTCTAGGATATGTCATTAAGACTAAGAACTGGCCGACACTACATCCACCTAGTAACAGAAGGACCAAATGCACAAATGAGTCTTTGAAACATATTGACCTATGAGCTTTGAATTCTATATACTGTTTGAACCATTGTAGAGGAAATAACATCCATGAATAAATTAAGAGTACGGTATGACTCCTCCCAACTACCAAAAATAACCTTAATAGCCTTTTGTCGAGCGTCACATGCCTTCATGCATGAAACTTTAATATTGAACTTAGATTCCATGCGACCTATAATCTCCCTTGGCTTCAAGTCCATTTGCTTTCTAATGGTTGGTAGTATGTAGAAACTAATAAATTGGGAAGTTGAACTGACAGTGGCCACTTTCAAGAATTGGAGTGGCACAGGTACGACAGTGCTTTATAGATGAGATTTTTCATATACCACCTAATCATTTGCTCTTGGCAGAATGAAGCCTCCATAGGCAAGGAGACACCAAGCTATCATTCTTTGCACAACAAATCGTAAATTTATGTGTATTTGAGGCTATGACCAGCCTTATAATGCAAATTGAAGATCACTATTTCTTGTGAAACACATACCTTAAATTAATTCATTAGGAATCATGAATTCATCCTCATCCATCACCTCATCATTAACATCATCAAACTCAATTTCTTGATCCCATTCTTGTGTAGTCATGCAGATCTCAGGATAGTTATTATTTGCCACCATTGTATCCCCGCTACTAACTGATTTAAAGCAGTAATCTTGGATGACATTTCTTATCTCCTCGTTACCATATGCAACTCCATTATCCACTGGTAAAAGATTAGCACCATCATCATCAGAGCACTGAGCGCTAAAGCCACTAATCATCGTCTGATAATCGTAATGATTCAAAGGGATTGATTGTGCAGAATGTAGTGGAGGTTCCTGCATCTGTTGGTTTTCTGTATCACTATATTAAAAATATTATTGATCAATATTATTAATCATTTATTGATCAATAAAAAAAATTCTACTGAATTATTAATGATATGTGATATAGGGAACTCACTAATGAAGAAGCTCTTCTACTGCGTCTACCCTTGAAGGACCAGCAATCACATCAATCCTTTCAACTTGGGTTGAAGTTTCACATCTTTGTGAATTTGGAGGTTCAGTATTTTCTCCAGTCATATTAATCTCTTCGACCTCAACGTATAAGATGAGAAATTTTGTTTCAGCCTGGCATAATAATACTTCACAAACGTCGTCATCCTCAACATGTGAAGGAACAATCTTATTTCCCACGGGCACTCATCATTCTAAGTTCACAGAAAACTTTGCAGGATCATACTTCAATGCTCTAATTATCCTTAACTTAAGTTGCTCTAAGTTTATATTTCTTAACACATGAAAGGGACGGTTCCTACCCCCAGAATAACTCGGCACGAATTTATCATCCACTTGTAACTTACCTCTATACAAAAGCATAAAGGTTGCACCACGTCCACTCATTACTGAAGTCATATGTTCCGCTATGAAATATAAACAAATCACAAAATCTTAATATACTTCAAATTTAATTTACACTAATTCTACTCGCTAAACACAAGTTATAATTACTATAACTAATATTGACATGATAATATCATAACGAAATACCACAATAATTCAATATATAAAATTTTAATACCCAATAAATTACTTCTAATTTATCTCTCTACCAAATAATGACTCCAAATAAAAAAATATTAAACATAGCAAAAATAATTACATAGAAAAAAATGTATTCTTTTCAAACTCACATAAAATTTAACCAAATAATTTATAAAATTTTTTAATAAATTTTTTATTTTTTAATTTTTAATTTTTTATTTATTTTTTATAAATTGTCTATTTCCAAACACATGTAAAACGTACTACACCCAAACTTTAAACCGTTAACATATATTAGCTTAAAATAATTCATCTTCTCCATGCCAAAATTATTTACTGAGGGTGAATCTCAACATTATTTAATTTATTTTATGATAAATGTGATATGTAAATAATTAATCACATTTTTTAATATACTTAACACAAACTCATATATTTTGAAACTAACGCTTATTCAAATTTTCATCACAAAATTTATTCGAAGTTGCATAAATATAACTTCAAAATAACCAAAATTATTGCAACAAATAATAATTTAACAAATTAAAACAAATTTTTAAAAATTTACCTATTTCCAAACACATATACTTATTTCAACAAATATTTACTTCAACATATACTAACTTCACATAATTTAACTAATATAATCAACATTGCTTAACAAACAAAAATTAAAAATTTCAAAAATATTTGTATCGAACATTCATCTTCTCCAACCCAAAAGAACCCAAAAAACACGTATATTTATCACAAAAATTGCCACCTTCAATATGTAGGTCAACTACAATCACAAATCTACAAAATATTTGCAACATTCACTTCTTAAATGTATAAATCTTTACTTGTCCCAAACAAATTTTGAAATTATTTCAACAAACAAAGAGATTTACCCAAATAATTATAGAAACAAACCACAAATAATAAATCTATACATCTCTATGAACAAAAAAAAACACTTAACAACATGTATTTAACTTGTTTAACATAAGAAATTAAAAAAAAAATCTCATCTTACCTTCACCCGACAGGGAAAGCACTTGATCGCGGCTAATGCTTTGTTTGGGACGGGTTTCTTATTGCTTCTTAAAGCAGCTTCCTAATATAAAATTTAAAATTTTTGTACTACGAAGCTTCTTTAAGAAACCAAAAAAAAGCCATCACAAACGAAGCCTAAGAGGGATGGAGACGATGAAGAACAAAGATTGGATTGGGAAAGGAAAAGTGATATTTTTAATTATGACTAAATCGCCCAATAAACGAGCGACGTATGCCACATCATCTGCCACGTCCTCATTTGATTCGACATAAATTGCCTATTAAATAGACGACTTTGACTATTTTTAAATTCTATTAATGGTATGCTTATTCATATTATTATCTCGCTAATTATGTTTACTTTTAAAAATTTCCCTGGGGAAATTAGCGATCACCGCGCTTGTTCCATTGACCGAGTCCGAGACCAAACCTAGTCCTATCACGGCTGTCCAAAAGCTAAGATTTCAATTACAAATCAACGGTGCAAACAGCGCCAGCTCATGAATCTGTGTGAGAACGAAGCCACCCTATGATCATTCACAACACCTTACTATTTAAACCCTTCCGAGCATACGTACTTATCAAATCCTTCGTTTTCACGCTGTTCTCTATCTAGCAAGATCAGTTATTCTAATGGCTCCAAAGGCCGAGAAGAAGCTCGCCGCAGAGAAAAAACCCGCCGCAGAGAAGCCCGCGGAAGAGAAAGAGAAGAAGGCTGGGGTGTCCGAGAAAGCTCCCGCAGGAAAGAAGCCGCGGGCGGAGAAGAGGCTTCCGGCGTCAAAAGAGGTTGGCGCTGCGAGCGACAGGAAGAAGAAGAGGGCCAAGAAGTCAGTCGAGACCTACAAGATCTACATATTCAAGGTGTTGAAGCAGGTTCATCCCGACATAGGCATCTCTAGCAAGGCGATGAGCATCATGAACTCGTTCATTAATGATATATTCGAGAAGCTCGCTCAGGAGTCATCTCGCCTCGCTCGTTATAACAAGAAGCCGACCATCACGTCCAGGGAGATTCAGACTTCGGTTCGGCTTGTTCTGCCTGGGGAGCTAGCTAAGCATGCGGTTTCTGAGGGAACCAAGGCCGTTACTAAGTTCACAAGTTCTTAGATCCGGTTCATCTTCCCCCCTTGTTTTTTTGCTGGTTGTTTTATTTTAGTTAGGGTTAGGTTTAGATTTTGCTTTACTCTCTGGTTTGGGATATGTAATTAGCAGGAAAACTTATGATATCTTCTTGGATTTTAATCAAGAATCCGGTCATCTTTAGATATCAAAAATTGAAAGTCATTTTGAATAATTGATTATGGAGCTGTTAAATTTTTCTTAATGTGATTTGTTTGTGTTATATGAATGTCATGTTATAATATCTGATGAATTTCTTACTTGTAGATGTTGGCCTGTTTAATGATTAATTGATTATAGAGTATTTAATTTGAAAAGAGATTCTTTGTTGTTTAGTGCTATTGTCTTGCTGCTGGGAATTTGTGGAAACGAAAATATAAGTTATTAAATTTTGAGTAAATTAATGCATATTCATAGTTTGCCTGAAACTGGTTGGAAATCTTGTCGCTTTCTCATTGCAGTTATGTTTTTTTTAAGCATGTTGTTTGCATTTCTGAATTGCAGTGTATTCTGGTTGCGTGATGTATTGTGCATTGTTACTCTAGTTTTGAACAGAAGCCATGAAACATTGGCTGGCTTTTGGGTATTTGAACAATGTGGTATGTGAGTGTGATAAATTTTTGAGGCTAATACTATCTCCAATCAAACTCCAAACCAGTGTCTTCCTTCTGTCATTTGCTCGATTCAAACTCCAAATTGCATGCCAAATTTCAGTAGGTGATTAGTGAGAGTTCAATATTGGCATTGGACTATTCACCTATTCCAAAAAAATTCGTTGTGAGATTTACTTAAAAAGCGTGTGAAAGAGGAGAAAAATATCCCAAAGATGGCTACCTTTGCAAAAAGCGCATGGAAGAAGAAGAAATGACATTCGATTGGGGATAAATGGCTGCATTTTAGAGTGGAGATGCCTAATGATTTGGACCAACTAATCTTTTAGAGGAGAAAATAACAGCTTAGATCTTGCAAATCAATATTTTGTAGATTTAAAATCTTATTGAAAGAAAAATCCTTGGCATTATGAATGACTAAATCTTGGATTTATAATTTTCCGTCTAGGACTATGGGACATTCATGTAAAGGTAAGAAAACTATATTAACATACATACATTTGATTATTTTAGCTCCTTTGATTTTGTTTTTGTGTGATGAGAGTGTTCACCTCAAATATCTCCCCTGGCTTCATATTAGAAGGGGTAGTCATCACCTTAGAAATCATGATTGATTGATTTGGTCAATATTTTGACCCTTGTAAATTTGATTGAATTAGATTCTATTTCACTTTATTCAACTTGTCTTTAGTTTTTTTTTTTAAATGTATGGCTCTTTTGTTTGATCTACCTTATTTTGGTTGTTGGGAGCTTTGGTTTACCAATCAAGAGGATTTGAGTTTGAGCTTTGTGTATGTGATGTGTGTGAATTTGCTTTAATTGGCTTAAAGGTACCAAAAAAAAAAACTCAATGTATTTAAAACACAATCTTTAGATTTTCAAACTCCTAGTTTAATCACCTATGATTATCATGTTTGCTAGCACAGTCTTGCCCAAACTAATGAATCATGATTTGAAAATAAAGTAGGAATTTCAAAATTAAAATTGTTAAATTTACACATCTGTGCATCATCAATTTGAAGTTAATTCTCTTATTTTTATTGGGATTAAATGTCTTTTAAACTATTGGATTCTTAATTTGACCATTTTTAGTTTTTGAGCAGATCTACTCAACCAGTATTTGATATATTTAGTGTTATCCTAGTTACTTTTATTGTAATGAATATTATTGGATTATAATGGTGCTTGTGAGTTGGAGTGATGCATCCATGATTTATGCAACTAATAATAATAATAATAATGAAGAAAAAATCCATACAAAGGCCTCTAATCTTTGATCTGCCGCTTCTCCTATCCTCCAACTGCAACCTTATGTTGTGTGAAATCTGATTGTGTTGATCAATCAGGTTGTTCTGTTGCCTTGAACTTCAAGTTTGTCATTTTAGTTTACCCCCAGCTTGAATTTTGAGCGCCACAATGTCATTAGACATAGGTGTGAGCGAGATGGACTGCACAATTTTTTTTCTTGTTTTTTGATGGTTGCGTCCCTTGGGATTATTCACTTTGCTTTCTCTTGTATTTCTGTAGTGTTAGACATGGAGAATAGTGCATGTGAGAAGAGAAGTAAAGAGAGAGTGAGAGAGAAGAAAGATTTGTATTTATTTATCCCAATTTTTATAATGGATTTCTTGGTGTGGTGTTGCTAGTTTTTCCATGTCGTTTTTTAGCGTGATTTTAGCTCTGGGAGGACGCATCTCTACGTCAGGTGGGAGGACGCAATAATAATTCCCAACTGCAACCTTATTTTATGTGTGAAATTTGATTGTGTTGATCAATCAGGTTGTTCTGTTGCCTTGAACTTCAAGTTTGTCATTTTTGATGTTATTGGGGGTTGGGGCTCGTGGGGTAAATTTTGAGCGCCACAATGTCATTAGACAGGTGTGAGCGAGATGGACTGGACAATTTTTTTTTCTTGTTTTTGAAAGTTGCGTCCCTTGGGATTATTCACTTTGTTTTCTCTTGTATTTATGTAGTGTTAGACATGGAGAACAGTGCATGTGAGAAGAGAAGTAAAGAGAGAGTGAGAGAGAAGAAAAATTTGTATTTATTTATCCCAATTTTTATAATGGATTTCTTGGTGTGGTGTTGCTAGTTTTTCCATGTTAAATTCTGGTGTTATTTATTTTTCCTGTTGCTTTTACTTTCTCTATTATTTTGTCGTTGTGGTGTTTACTCCTCTTCATCCCCAATACCATATCCCTGGCATCCTATCTTATCTAGCCGTTATCCAATGAATCATTATATTTTAAGTTTTAGCTATGACATTTCTTTCTCTTCCTCAAATTTTACGCTGCCTATGATTCTCTCATAATAGGAATAGGTAGATATATGATATAGATGGAATTCAATCATAGGACTTCGACAACAAGCCCCTAAGAGATGACCATCACTTCCTTCGTGGATCTCCTCATCACTAACCTTTCCAAAAAGAGCAAGTGCTTTACTTATCCCTAATGTCAGTGTCATCTCAGGCCTAAGCATTGCAAGTCTGTGAGCTCCTCGCCACTAGCTCTCTACTGCAGACTTATTGCTTTTGCTGATTTTACTTAATCGAATCTTGGTTGGCCATCTCTTAGGGGCTGTTTGGTAGCAGAATTTACGCTGGATTTGAGGCGGATTTGAGCGAATCCAGTCAAACGGCCTAAAATGTAAAACCAAATCTCACAGCAAATGAAAGTTGTAGTAGGCTGAAAATTCCGCCTTTTTGTGCTAAATCTCGAATTTCCGAAATCTTTTTTTTTTTGCTGCCGTGTTTAGGAAATCCATTGGCTCTAGAGGAAGAGTTCGCTTTTGAAGTCTGCTCTATAGCCAAACAGTCACACGGAATTTAATAGGATTTATCATGAATGTTACCAAACAGTTTTCAGGATTTTCACAATCCGGATTTAGAAGATTATGAAATCCTACTTAAATCAAATCCTAAGTGCTACCAACAACACTTTAGGTTTTATTTGGGATAACTTATTTATTGTTTTGCTTTTTAAATAATATTCATAATTTTTATTTGTCCATTATTTTTTCATTATTTTCAAAGAATTTTTGTATCATAAAATGTTCTCTTTAACACTTCTAAAGAGTTATTTTCTCTTTGCTCTCTCCATTGAACTCACTTCTTGCTCATTTGCTATTATTTTTTTCGGCTTTGTTTGGGGTATCTTTTCAGTAAATTTTTGTATTAAAAAATTATTTTATAAAACAATAAAAAAATTATCCTAAACAAAATATTCGTTTTTGAGCCTCAACCAAAGTAGAGCATCTCATGTAAAGCCTTCGTCGACATCAGAACATAGCTGGTCTCACCATTGATCATTCGTGAAAGACAATATCAAGTTGTATGTCCAATACTTCACTAAACATCTAATATGTCGGTTCCACAGGAACCGACTCAACTTCAGCCGGCCCAGGTGCGGCCGACACTTGTGTACAGGAGGCAGGTCAAACCGCCTCCTTCCTACACCACCTAAGGGAGGGGCCCACGCACAATTTGTTTGGATTTAATTAATTAAAAAAGATTTGATATCTTTTGTATTAAATAATAATATCTTATATTAGAAAAGTGGATTTAATTAATTAAAAAGAATTAATTAAATATTATTTAATATTAGGAAGTTTTTAAAGAGGTGGAGAGGGCTGCTTAAAAGGCATGAAGGGGTTAGGGTTAGGCATGCTTTGATTATTGTCTTCTTGTAGTCTCTTTGGTGTTTTGGGCTCTAGACTCTTATCTAGAGATTTGGGAGCGACGATCCTCTTTTCGAATAGAGGATCAATTATATCTTTTATTCTAGTTTATTTTACTTTGAGTATTTAATTGAGTTCTATTATTTTCTTGATTGTTTCATCTCCAATCTTGAGTATTCTTACTGTTTTTATCAATTTCGCATTACGGTTACTTACGAACTTAAATAGATCCGATAGGATTACTTGCGAACTCAAGTACTTCCTATCAACATTCACTTCAAAAGTCTCAAGAAGACATTTCATCAAACACCTTTCAATCTAAATAAATAGTTAACTGACTTTGGATGACGTCAATCATGATGTTGGCATAATTTCTATTAACCTATAACAGCTTGGGGGAAAAGTTTTAATCGTTTGAGTATCAGTTTTACAGATTATAATTATTAATTTTTATTTTTATTTTTCTTATGAGTATCAGTTTGTAAAAATTCTGAAAATTGTTGCAACTTTCATGATGCCTCGGACATCGCGACAGCCATCAAAATATGATTATTATTCATATCCTCCTATTTGCAAAATATTTATTTTTGGCAAACATTTATTACAAATTGATCTTTGAAATTTTTTTTGGAACTGGGTATCTACCTGCTATCACTATAAAAGGAGTGCTTGGTGGCATAATTAATCCATCGGCGAAACCTAGCGAGACCACCAATCGGTATCGGGCCCAAACTTGCCTTGCCCCACTGAAGAAGCGAGACCGTAGCAGAGGAGATTTGAACCCGGGATGGGAGGTTCCCAACCGTGCTCGCCTACCAGCCACCCTAAATCTCGATGGGTAATCGATATTATTGTGATGGGCATTT